ACCATATGCACTCTTAACTCACGCACACCCAATAACTATCACGATTTCTTATCCATGCACTTACTATTTATCATACATATTTTTTTTGTTTGTCGCCAAACTTTCTTGCATTTAGGGATGAATATCCTCAATTATCGATCTCCAGTTAGTGATGACAATTTGAACCTGTCATGCGGGTATTACCCGACCTAATCCGTGATGGGGCGGGTATTACCCGACCCGCAGTAGTATGGGACGAGACATGGATATTTATTTCTGACCCGTCCTGCCCCTCTCCACACCGTTTTTGGCCCATTCTATCTCAATTTTTTTACAATATCTATTCATATTTCTCTTGTTCTGACTTTTGTTCAACTAGTTGGAGTCGATCTTTCAACTTATTAGACTCAATTACCCATTCTATTATCACTATTTTTCATTCTTAAATGTATTTTCTCCGTCGTTTTATCGTAAAATAAAATAACATTTGCATGTACTTTTCTCAAATAACATGTAAGAGTTGATCGATCGCCCCGCAGTAACGTGGAGCGGGACATGGATATTGAGGTAGCCGCCCGCCCCATTGTCATCACAATCTCCAGCCACATGATTTTCTTAACGATGTAGTTATGAGTTGAACACAATGTACAATAATCAGAGCATACTTATAACCAAAACAACCTTAAAACTAATGGGTCGTTTGCTTCAAGGATTTTATAATGAGGGTTTTGTCATGGATTTGCTAATTAAAAACCTCGGGATTTATTAGCGATTTTGGGCATTATGGATTTGAGAAAATACTTTGTTTGTTGAGCTATGTTTATCATGGATTTGATAGTTTTTCAGCTTGTCTCCAAATCTCAGGGTATGAGGTGGGATTTATTATAAAACCGTGGGGCCTATGGATTTGGAGGGAAAAAATCCAAATCCGTGGGGCCCACAGATTTATCTAAATATTTTTTGACAAAGCAAACAACGGATTGTGTGTAAATCCATGATGGTTGGTTTTTTTATACCAAATCCATGATGTAAATTCTTGAAGCAAATGACCCCTAAGAATAGGAGTGTGCACATGTTAATCAAATTTTTATTTTGGTTTGAGTAAAATGTCCAGGGTCCAGCTGTAGCCTGTAGGGATAGGGAAGTGACCAGCTGCAGGGTTAGTTTTATATAAAATTATAAATATATGTGTGACAGGGGGAGGATTTGGAGGGTTAATTGAGTATCAAAAATTGTACACCTATGCTATGCATGCTGTTGTAATTGTTAAATTATTATTACTATAAAGAAATGTTAATTATTTAATCGAGTTATAATTTACCTTGGGGCACCTTCTCAATTTTGTTTTTCTCGATCATAGTTATAAATAAACAGAAACAAATTTTTTTGATAAATTTTTTTATGAAAATCAAAAAATTCTCATTAACCCCCAGAATTCCCAAACGTAGGATCCTCTCAAAACAGACTAGGTTTTACATACGTTTTACTACTATCTCTCAATCTATCAACTTCTATAAACGAAAAAAAAAACTTTTTATAATTGGAACGACCTGCGGATTAACTAACCTATACAATGAATTTCAAATATAATATGCGACACAAGTCGAAGAGGTGAGCAGGTGCCAACATCTCCATACCATCTGCAGCAACGCTCCTTCCACACATGAGCAATCACCAGTCTCCATAGCAGCATGCCAACTCTAATACGATCTGAGTTCCCCTTCCAAAGTCCCATAGCCCAGTTCAACGTGGAGTTCCAGCCTTCTAGAGCTAATGGAGGGGTCTCAGGGAAGACAGACTGCAAGATAAAATGGAAAAAGGGGCACTCTCCAACGAATGATCTCTATAGTCCAATCCACCCACACATAACACACACCAGCCATGAAGGACCCTCCCCCATTTGATTAACTTGTCAGCAGTAGTAATCTTGTTTTGCATTATCATCCACGTCAAGACACTATATTTGGGAATGAGAAACTTTCCCCAAACCAGATCTGTCCAGCTAACCTGGTGGTGAGCCCCTCTAATACTGCGCCATACCTTAGTCACTGAGTAACGAGGCATATGATATAAGTACCATCCCACATTAAAGAATCAGGTGCCAACATCTCCATACCATCTGCAGCAGCAGCCCTTCCACACATGAGCAATCACCAGTCTCCATAGCAGCCTGCCAACTCTAATACGATCTGAGTTCCCCTTCCAAAGTCCCATAGCCCAGTTCAACGTGGAGTTCCATCCATCTAGAGCCAATGGAGGGGCCTCAGGGAAGACAGACTACAAGATAAAATGGAAAAAGGAGCACTCTCCAAACAAATGATCTCTACAGTCCAATCCACCCACACATAACACACACCAGCCATGAAGGACCCTCCCCCATTTGATTAACTTTTCACCAGTAGTAATCTTGTTTTGCATTATCATCCAGGTCAAGACACTATATTTGGGAATGAGAAACTTTCCTCAAACCAGATCTGTCCAGCTAACCCGGGGGTGAGCCCCTCTAATACTGTGCCATACCTTAGTCACTAAGTAACGAGGCATATAACTACCATCCCACATTAAAGAATCAGATGTCCCTGTTATAAATTCACTTGCAATAGTTTTAAGTTTAAGTATATGCTTCCAAACTCAAGATCCCACAGAGGTGGCAGAGACTTCCCATATGGTCTTGGAATGAAGCCTATAAGATCTGATCCATGCCACCCAAATAGAACCACTACAAGCTAGTATCGACCACAGGTGTCGAATAACACAAGCCTTGTTCCACAATCGAAAATCTTTGATTCCTAACCCCCCTTCAGACTTCAACATCACTGCAGAACTCTAAGAAGCCGGAGCTTTAGCTCTGGAACCCCCATCACCCACACCCCACAAGAAGCTATTGCAAATCCGCTCAATCTCCTTCAGGACAGCAGCTGGCAGCACAAATATGTTCAACCAAAATTGCAGAAAACTAGAAATGACAGAGGAGATCAACTGTACCTTCCCCGCGTAACTTAGAGTTTTGTCCTGCCAACCCCTAATACGAGCAGTGATCTTGTCAACCAAGACTTGACAATCAACTTTACTGAGTTTTCCTGAAATCAAAGGAACTCCCAAGAAACGGACAGGAAGACTAGCAAGTGGAAAGCCTGTACAAGTCGACATAAACAATTTCTCTTCTTCTGAAATACCCGTACATAACAGTTTGCTTTTCTCAGGGTTGCACTTAAGACCAGAAATTCTATAGAACTCCTCCAGCACACGTCTAATGCCTACTACAGCTCTAACCGACCCATTCGAGAAGACTAACAAGTCATTTGCAAAACACAGATGTATGATATCTAACTTCTTACAGCGAGGGTGGTAAGGAACTTGATTCTCCATGGCAGCCTTGTGCAACAAACAAGAAAAGAGTTCCATCGAAATGGCAAAAAGGTAAGGAGACAAAGGGTCCCTTTGTCTGAAACCCTTTGCCACACAAAATGATCCACAGAGACCCCATTAAAGGCAACCCTAAAGCTAGGCGATGTTAGACAGGTGTGAACAAATTCAGTATAATCAGGGGGGAATCCCATAGCCGCCATCACTCGGAACAAAAACCGCCAGTTAACAAAATCAAAGGCCTTCATGAGGTCGATCTTCACTACACATCGCGAAGTGATAGAAGACCTATGATAATCCTTAACTAATTCTGACGCCATTAAGATATTATGACTAATTATCCTACCCTTCACAAAAGCAGATTGAGCAGGGCTGATGAGTTTTAGGAGTACAAGCGTCATTCGATTAGCAAGCAACTTAGCAATAGCCTTATATAAGACATTACATCACGAGATAGGCCTAAAGTCCTTCATTTTCTCTACGTTCTGCAGCTTAGGAATCAAGGTGAGAATGGTGGCATTTACCTCGGGGGAAGCAAGCCTGTTTCAAAGAAATAAAATACTGCCTTCACTACGTTTGTACCAACCACACTCCATTCCGATTTAAAGAAATCCGCAAGGAATCCGTCTGGTCTAGGAGCCTTATCAGAAGCCATAGCAAAGAAAACTTCCTGAATCTCCTCACTAGTAACAAGCCTATTCAAGATTTCCATATCATCAGGAGAGATTTTACGTTGAAGAAGATCTCCAAAGTGGCTGACTGGGAGATCAGCAACCTCAGGATTAGACTCCCCAAGTAGCCTTTTATAAAAATTCACTGCCATTTGGCCCATCTGCTTAATCTCAGATACACATCGACCTTCATCAGTAACAAGATGGTCAATAGTGAGCTTCTTATTCCCGACTTTAACATATTTGTGGAAAATCCCGTGTTGCAATCCCCTTCATTAACCCAACCAATCCTTGACTTCTGCCTGTAGAAAGACTCTTCAGCTGCTTGCAACTCAGAGCATCTTAGAGCCAGCTCAACTTCTCGGGTAATATTTACAGAACTGTGGTCAGATAGGACAAGATCCCGAGCTTCTACCAGATTCAGATTGGCTTCAGCTTCCCGAGTTCTACCTGATAAATCAGAATAAAAGAACTTGTTAAGACCAGTCAGCCCCCTCTGCAATCTCTTCAATTTCCTGAGGACAATCTGAAAATGAGATGGCCTGGTAATGTCATCCCATGCTTCTTTCAAAATATCCTGGTACTGAGGATGAGACCCCATAATTTGAAATACTTGAAAGGTTTTGGAAGATTTTTCAGCTGAGTAGTAGTGCGAATGAGAAGTCCACAATGGTCAGAGACCCCGGGACTGATGGTACAAGTAGAGCTGAATTTGAAGAGGTCAAACTAAGGATCATTAACTAACACTCTGTCAATACGCCTGGCAATTGGATTATGCGCTTGTTTATTCCACCAGGTGTACCATGATCCTGCAACCTTATAATCTTTTTGATAATTTAAACAAAAATACGATCGTGAACAATCATTCTAAAAGGTTTCAATATGAAAGGATTAAGTGAATTTCTAAAAATGATTTTCAGACTCAATGAATCATTGATGCGAAAAAAATAATTAACTAACTACTTATCAATATGTGACTAATTGGCTACTCTTTTTTTTTTTTACATTACCCAATAAATCAAATAGAATACTGAGTTATGTAACACAACAACAACAAAACCTGCTCATACATAACTAAGCTAAAGAACTGATCTCTCATTTTTCCCCAAACAGAGTACAGTATAATACAATAAAAGCCCCCATTTCTCAACTTCGTGAAACTCTATAGATAAACTTACTGCTTATAGTTATCGTTGCATTGTCAGGACGCAGTAAACGGAAATTGATTATCCACGACATTCTGATTCTGATGCCCTTGTTCGACCGAAGAACCGTCCTCTAATTGTATGTCATTGATTCTCTTAATGGCTTCTCTTAGCTCCAATCTCTGTTCAGGAACACTGTGAGCACAATGTGCTCCGATGTGGATCAACCTGACCATCTGTCCGATCGAATTGCTGAACCCTGCGATTTCAGGGTCCAGCAACTCTGCCTCTCTTCCCTCCGGAACCACCGATTCCACCCACCGGACCAAATCGGTCCCTGCCGCGCCAGCATTGGTGTACTGGCACGGCAGCTTCCCCGTCAGGATCTCCAAGATCAGGATTCCGAGGCAGAACACGTCGGATTTCGGCGAAACGTGCCCGTGACCGTGCCCGCCTCCTGCTGCCATCGCCTCCGGAGCCTTGTAGGCTACCAGTACCTGGGAGATCACGCTGGAGTTGATGAGCGAGCTGAATCCGTACTCCGAAACCCTCGGCTCGTTGTCCGGACCGACTAGTACGTTACTCGATTTCAGGTTGCCATGAGGCAAATTGGTGCCGCCCAGCTCCGAATGAATGTAGCCCAATCCTCTGGCGATCCCTTTCACGATCCTCAGGCGGGATGCCCAATTGAGACCAGGATGCGTCGGACCTCTATCCCCTGCAACGAAAAATCGACGATGAGTTTCGTCGATTTTGATAATACGATACGATGTCACAAACATTTGTTACGACGCACTTACCGTGTAACAAGAAGAGCAAGCTGCCTGTGGGGACAAACTCGTAAATCAACAGCTTCTCGTCCTTCCTGTAATGGAAGGCCAACGGGGTTAGCACGTTTGGATGGCGCAATTTCCCGAGCATTTTGATTTCCGACTCGAATCCGTCTTTCCCCATGGCGTTCATCTCCCTGATTCGTTTCACCACCACCGCCGTCCCGCCGGCCATCACGGCCTTGTACGAAGAACCCATTCCTCCGTTCCCGAGAATCTCCGCCGACGCCTTCATCAGATCTGGAAGTCCGAAAACCCCCTTGTCGTCGTTCATCATCACAAACTCCCCGACGTTTCCTTTCCCCTGCGCATTCGACGTCCGGTGCTGCCGGCTCGGCCCCGCCGTCCCCTTCCTCGCGGACTCCTGCGCCGTCGCCTGCAGCCTCGTCGTCGGCAGGGAGACCTGCACCTCGAACGGCTCGTCCTCGTTACTGTTCCGCCTCCCGCGATTTCCTAGGGTTTCGAAATCGCCGTCGTCGTCTTCGTCTGATTTCCTCGGCATCATCTTGATCACTATCACCGCGGAAATTAGGAAGAGGAGGACGCCTAGGGTTACGATTCCGGCCACCGTCTTCTTGAAATTGCTGCCGATCCCGATTGCTGTGGCGTTAGGGTTGTTCTGGATCCCTTCCGAGGAAGTGGCGGCGCCGCCGTCCTTCTGCGGGGGGACATCGCACTTCTTCCCCGTGATCCCGCCGCAGAGCCCGGGGTTCCCTGCAAACGACGTCGCGTTGAATTTCGCCAATCCGCTAGGGATTTCCCCTGTGAGATTGTTGTTGGAGACGTCGAATTTGGCCAATTTCGCGAGCTGGATATTGGGGAAGGCGCCGGAGAACTGGTTGTCCTGTAGCTGGAGCTCGATTAAATTCGATATCTGGCCGATTGACGGAGGCACTAGCCCGGAGAATTTGTTGTCCGACAGCCAGAGTTTCTTTAGGGCGACCATTTTACCGAAGAAATCGGGCGGGATCTCGCCGGAGAATTGGTTTCCGTTCAGGTAGACCGCCTTGAGGTAGCTGAGCCGGTTGACGCCCGGGATCGTCCCGTTGAAGGAGTTGTGGCCCAAGCTGAGCGTACGGAGGCCGGCGATTTCGATGAGAGCGTCGACGTCGATGGTGCCGGAGAGGCCGAGGTTCTCGAGGCGGATTCCGGTGACCATGTCGTTGGAGCAGAGGACGCCATGCCAGTGGAGCTTGCCTTTGCAAGGAGGGGAGCCGCCGGGGGCCCAGGAAATGAGAGCGGTGGCGTTGGTGAAGGATTTTTTCAGGCGGAGTAGGGCGTCCGATTCGTCGGCGCCGACGGAGGAGGCGGCGGTGAGGGAGAGGAGGAGGAGGTGGAGAAGGAAGGTCGGCGGCCGGAGGAAGAAGAGCCAATCCAAGGCCATAACTTTTTTTTACCTGCAGTCAATTTTGGAGATTTTAATGGGATGTGAATAATTGGCGCATGGTAATTTTCTGCGAGTTATTTTTCTTGCTCTTGCTATTTTCGCGGGTTTTTTATCCATTTCTTTGTTTTTTCGAATTGTTTTTGTTTGATCTTTAGTTGTTTTTTTTTTGTTTGGTTTGGCTATGGCAGAGAGAGAAAGAATTTCCTTTCCGTTTCTTTTCTCTTTCTTTCATCTTTTTTCTGCTAGTAAAATTTTCGTTTTTTTCTGTTATTTTGTTTGGTGGAGCTGTTTTGAAATAGTCAAAAATAATGGATGGTGCGGTAATTGTATGTGGTTTTCTTCCTCGTGCCCGTTTCACGGAGTTTGGATAAACTTTTTTTTTTACAAAAATACAATCATATATTGATTGAAAAATAGATAGTTACATTCTGTAGTTCAGCCAGTCATGATAATCAAAGAAACGACTCATAGTCGGGTACAAAGAAAGTGTTTTTCTAGCCATCAAATGGACCACGCTATTATTTTGCCGACATACAAATCGAACAGAAAACCCAGAACGAGAAGAAAAACATTGCACAATTTCTTCAAAAATAGTCCTCATCTGGTTATCAGCGGTATCAGCCCGATTAATCTTGTCGATGATCACCTTAGCATCTCCCTAAAACATGATCTCCGTGAAATCATGAGCCAGACACCACATCATAGCCTTCCGGAGTACGAGCAGCTAGACCATCATTTGGTCATCCACATGTGCAAAGAGGATCTCCCTTGTAGGGGTCATGATAACCAATCCACCGGCCGAATGAGAACCACTATGCGTCGCCCCATTCCACATACACACCGGAAAATCAATCTCTGCAGGGCTCAAGTGATGGGGCAAAGGGGTAGAGGACCGAAGAACACAATCGACAAGAAGATTTACCACTCCTCATACTGTTGGTTAAATTGACGCAACAAGGCCGGGATTCCAAACTGCTTGCTCTCAAAGACAACCCAGTTACGAGAACGCCAAATCCTCCAAAGGATAGGCACAACCGCATGAATAACGAGGGTTAGTGTAAAAGGGACATCAATCGCTTAAGAAAAAACAGGAAAGTATGTCGAGGCAACCCTTGTCCAAGATATTCCAACCCCGAATAGTCCCAAAGAGCTCGCGCCACTGGGCAGTAAAGGAACAAATGTTCCAAGGTTTCTGACTCTGCCCAACAGACTAGACATCGGTTAAAAATTTGCCACATAAACACCTTCAATTTGGGCGGAATATTGGCATCCCACAAGCGGATCCAAAGGGCCTTATCCATCCAACTAGCCATGGATCTCCATCGGCCTTATCTTCTATCCAATAAGACGGCAAGATGGTAGGCCGAATTAATAATGAACCCCATAAGCCGTGTCATGCCAGATCAGTCTATCCGCAATGTCCTGGCGAGGAAGAGGGATAGCTTTGATAGCATGACAGGTCGGAGGATCAAACCACTGACTAAGTGTCAGTTCACACCAACGGCCTTCCCCGGGACAGATAATCGCTGCTACCCGCGGGTCACCCCCCTCTGGAAGCACCTAAGGATTATACATCGGGGGAAAAGGATGTAGCCGAGGAATCCAGTTGGAATGGAGCAGAGAAGCAGTCTGCCCATTATGAATATGCCACCGTAACCCTACTTCCAGTAACTTGCGACCATAGAGGATAATTTGTCAACCCCAAGATAGGCGAGGGACAAATAATCACTGCTACCCGCGGTAGGGGTGGGCATCCGTTTCGGTAAACTCGAACCGGACCGAAATCGAACTCGGCCGAACCGAAACCGAAATACTACTATTCGGTTCGGAAATCGGAAGAGAAATCTGGATAGTTCGAAAATCAGGGTCCTTTCGACCGAACCGAGATTCCGAAATTCCGACCGATAAACCGAAATATATTAAATAAGCCCAAAACCCATCCATATTCCCCCAACACCCTAAGCCCAAATGAAACCCACTGAGCCCAAACAAAACCTAACCCACTAAGCCCAACCAAAACCCTAACTCATACAACCCACAACCCTCTCCCCTCTAGCCTCTCAACCCTCGCCTCTCACCTTCTCAGCAACTGCCGTCCGCCGGCCAACCTTCTCCAACCACCACACGACTTCGCTTCATCAAATCCAGTGACCGGTGGTGCCCTGAGTGGCCATATCCTACCTGCCTCCCTCCAATCGCTTTGCGGACAACAAGTGAGGAAGATACTCTGAGTCTTGACTTTGCATGCGGCGGGACTCGTGAAGGTCTGGAGTGTTCTGGGTCTGATAGGTAGAGGATGATGGTCGAGATTGGGGGAATCGGGGAGAAGAGCCGATGGTCGTCGGTCGAGTTGGGGGGAGTCTGGGAGAGAGGGAGAGGATGATCGAGTTGAGAGGGAGATGTGACGATTGTAGAGTAAGAGTTGGGGGAGTCGGAGATCGAGGGAGAGACTGGAGAGGGAAGTCGGAGATCGAAGGTTTGAGGAAGAGAGCGGAGAGGCCAGAGCAAGAGAGAGGATTGGTGGCGGCTATAAGTGTGACCCAAAACCCTAAGGAAAGGGGAAAGAAAAGAAAATGAGGAGGCGCTGGTGGTATCTTTCGGTTTGGGGTCTTGAAACCGAACCGAATTATATTTCGGTTCGAACTCGGTTTGACCTATGGGATACGTCGGAAACCCTGTATACTCCATTTTGGTTCGGTTTGAACCGAACCGATGCCCACCCCTAACCCACGGTCACCCCCCTCTGGAAGCACCTGAGTATTATACATCGGGGGGAAATGATGTAGCCGAGGAATCTAGTTGGAATGAAGCAGAGTTCTTCTTCTCTTTTTCAGAGATAAATGTTGGAACAAATAAACACTAAAAAGCATACACTCTAGTTAGTCGTTTCTTAGTCTCCAGTTTATCTATCAAATTAAATATTATAAATGACAAGAATTTGAGATATCACAATCTCCTCCCTTCTCCGCTCTAGCTTTAGGCAAATTCAAATCCTTTGCCTAACTAGTCTCTTTATCATAAATTAGATTACATACTCTAATTTATATATATTTAATTATTAATTTAAAATACCGATTGAGATACCGACAATATCGATTGAATTACCAAAATATTTACGGATTGTAATTGGGATACCAAACTAATTAGAGATTGAGATTAATTTTAAGGTGTAATTCTGTATTCGGGATGTCGGTTTTTGGTATCGGAATAACATTATTGTAGTGATTTGTCGATATCCACCCCAGCTCGAATTAGTAAAGAGAGGGCCCAAAAATGAATTCTCATGAGTCCAAATATATAAAAGTCCACCAGAACGTTGGGTAATCACTAATTACCATGGTCTCTATTTGGGCCATTCCATGGCCCCAAAACAAAGGCATGGAAAATGGGTTGGGTCCAAGTTACAACTTGTTTTATAAATCTGAATCTGTTCTGCAAGGGTCGAAGTGTTTGTCATAGTAGCTTGCAGACCACTCCATTGGTTGTCGTATTATGGTCTATATGGATGGTTGGTCACAAGTGATGGTAATGGGGCGGGGCGGGTATCTTAATATCCATGCCCTGCTCCACGATAGTGCTGATCGGACGGGTAATACCCGCGCGGGTGCGGGGCGGGACGGATCGACTTCTCTCAATTTATTTGAAAATATACACGTAAAATTTTATTTTTTTACGATAAAATGAAGGGAAAACACTCTATGAATGAAAATAATGATGCTATAATGGGTAATTGAGTCTAACTAGTTGAAAAATCAAGTCTAATTAGTTGAAGAAAAGTCAAAATATGAATAGATTCTATAAGAAATTTAGATATAATGGGCTAAGAACGGGATGAGGGCATGACCGGTTAGAAGTAGATATCCATGACCGGCCCCACACTACTGCAGGTCAGGTAATACTGACCCTATCATGGGTCAGGTTGGGTAATACCCGGTAAAGCGGATTCAAATTGCCATCCTTAGGTCACATCACCTCATTGCTTATTTTAGAGTTTAGTGGTCCAATTCATGGTTTTAGCATTATGATTACCCGTGCCAAGTGAATTTTAGTTACTATTATCGACCATAGAAACCTGGTTAAGACAAGAAGGTTGCAACTAAAGTTACTAAACTACGAAGTCTTGAACTCACCTAGTACAAAGTAACACCCGAATCGAAAGTTTGTAGGCTACATATTCATATTAGAAGGTGTTTTTATTTCTTTTCTTATAAAATTTGATGTGAGGGATAACTGGATGGGAGTTTCATGGAGCTAAGGAGGGCATTGGAAATCTCGAGATAATGAGATATACCCAAAATAAAAAACCCAAATTTGCTATGGTCCACGTTTTCTCTATACCAAAAATGGAAAATTCAGTTGGATAGAAATCCATCTTCATTCCAGGTGAGTAGTAAAGCTTAATCTATTCCTCTTGAGCATCAAATTAAGTGGGGGGTTTAAGGAATGATGGTAATTAAGTAGAATGCTTGAATTTTGAGTATTCATGTATTAGTTCAGTGAGGAAATTAAGACTTAAATTTTGTTTAAGGAGGGCTATAGTTTCTATGTTTGGTATGGTGTAATAATGTTACCATTTGTGTATATTTATGTTAAGCATATATTAATGTAAAATGATATGATGGTAGACTACCAATATGAAATCTCTTTTTTAAGATTTAGATTCAGTATTGTAATTGTTTTTATCCTAACCATTCTCTCACTCTAAATCATAATCACTTCATCGCTTAATATAGTAAGCATGCATTTGGTTGTGTTTTGAACTCCTCTTAGGTTGAGGGAGAAAATGTACATTGTATCAATTAGATTGTGAGTCTAATAAGACTTAATTAACTCGATGAGTTTAAGCTGAAACACATATCCTCAATTTCTATATGGACCTTTTAAACCACGGATGCCCAAAATGCCTCAATGAGCTTCTAGAACTTGAAAATATGAGATGAAGGGATATTTGGAAATTAAATGCCACTCCTCGATAACATTTATTTATGTCTATCCTTCTTTTTTTATAAAAGTGGAAGATAGTCGAGGAAATTACTAAGAGAACAAATTTAATTCTAATTAATTATGGATTCTCTATCCTCTTTTTTTCCCATCTAATTAGATTCTGCTCATTATAGGATAAAAAGATCGTTAGAAATCCTAAGCCTCTTGAACTACTTGGTTGTACACACCATCCTAGAGTCACATGCATCTTGCATCAATGTTGAGCTTATAAAATATTTTATAAAGAAGTGCTTAAGTATTATAGATGGATCTCTCTCAACAATTTGAATTATTGGGAAT